TGCTTTGTTTTCATTCTGCTCTGTGTTCCGGGTGTGGTCTGATACGTTTTGGCTTTCTTCCTTTTCTTTCCTAAGCCTCCTGGAACCCCAAGCCCTAAACCCCAAGCCGTCAACTCTAGGCCCTAAACCCGAGAGCCTAATCTCGCTGATCCGTTTCCTTCTTCCAAAGGCCTACCGCCTGAACCGAGAGAAGGCAACAGCACAGGCCGGGCGCAGCCTCAAGATCAAGAGTTGAGGGTTCGAGGGCACAGGGTTTGGGTTCAAGAGCCCAGGGCCTTGTGAGAAGCACATAGGAATATGTTACTACTATCCTATATACCCCCAGTTTCAACTTCATGTTCCATGTTGTTTTCTTCTTCATTTTCCATTATTGGGCTAATATCCGTATACATAACCCCGATATAGCCCTTTATAGTAGTTTCCATGTTCTTTTCCATCATCCCCTGTTTAACCCCAATTTATACCCTATAATCCCTATATAACCAATTAAAGTTGTACTTACATGACCCAGCTCAGAGTCGTTCATGGATGGGCCTATCGGCCATCTGCATGGGCATTTCCAACATAACCGCCCGTCGACAGGAAGTAAAACTCTAATGGGTTGCATAGGGATGATAGGGTATATATTGGGCTATTTAGTGGATACCGGAAAAGAAAATGGAAACTATAATGGGTTATATAGGAGTTATAAACACAGACCCGGTCACTAACAAGAGGCTTGGCGCTTTGAGAAACTCCTCGCGTATTTTTTCTTTGCAGAAGTTGGAAGCCTGGTGTACCCTTGACCTTGCTTCTTGAACCCTGGAAGGCGGACAAGAATTTGGAAGCGATGCTGGAGGCGTATGTTGTGGAGAAGGAGCAAATTCAACGTGCAGTTCAAGAAGAGGCCACACGTTTTGAGCTGTAGTGGTTGCTGCCGCCCGCATGCTGCTCATAGAGCTCATCGTGTTTGTCTTTGTATTATTCCTGTTGCTTAGGCCGGTATTTGTATGCGTGATCCCTTCCAGCTAGCAATTGGACAGTTCCCACTCCTAATGATAGGCATTCCCTTCGTACAGCAGCCCCCAACATTGAGTCTTATGACGAAGCGCAAGCTATCTTCATGGCAATTTATCATCCTCTTTGGGCCCGGGCTCCCTAAACCCTGAACCCTGGTCCTAAGCCCTTGACCCAAGCTTAGGGCCCAAACGCTAAATCCTGTATAATCTTAAGCCCAAACTCTCATTCCTAAACAACCCTAAACCCTAAAACCCTAAATAACTTCAAAAACCAGGTCCTGCGGCAAAAGGATGAGGAAGTCCACTTCGCAGGGGAGCTCCAGAGCTTGCGTGAGCCGGGGGCTCAGTCGGGGAAGCTGGGACAACGGAGCTGTGTCATTTGTTTTCGGACAGTACCTCTGTCTATATGTATGTGTGTGTAGCATGAAGGAAGGAAGCAAGGAAGGAAGGAAGGAAGGAAGGAAGGAATGGAAGAATGAATGAATTACATACATGCAGCATGTATGGGGAGGGGCCTTAACTCGGAGAGGTAGTCCTTGTTAGATGGTTTCGGAGTTTAATTCGTGTTGCGAACGTGCAACAAAACCTTTAAGTTTTCATGTCTGAGCGGTTATATAGGATTTTTTATGGGGCCTGTTTCAGGCGTGTACGAAATAGGCAGAAAGGCCAACAACCGGATGAATGGAAGCAAGACCACTACTTTGCGGTGTCAGCTTGAGCATACTCGCTTCAAAACCAACCATTTAATGGTTTAGGGGCCAATGCCCATTCGCAGCTTCTGGAGTGGCATCAAGATCGTTATGCTGTCTGCCAGAGGACACCGAGGACACCCTGTATATATAAACCCTATACAATTCCAATATACTGTAATAGTTTCCATGTTCTTTTCCATTATCCCTATATCACCCCAATATCTACCCTATAATCCCTATACAACCCATTTCAGTAGTTTCCATTTTCTTTTCCATTAT